CTGCCCGTTCCCGACCACAAAGTGGCCCAAAAAAATTTGCACGAATTCAAGGAGTACATAGAGGCTGGGAAAGGATTGGGAAAACCCGAAAAAAGTGTTTTAAATTTTTGACATGTGCAAACCTTTTTTGATGAAAATCACCCTGACAGTTACTGCAAGCCGTGTTGGCAGCCTGTACACTGACAATGTTGTGAACCACTTTAGGGAAGTCATAAAGGAACGAGAGGTACAGGTCTCTATGGACAGATATGTTGTGCGGGTTATTTGTGTATGTGTCCAGTGACTCTCAAGCTGGTCCTAGTGGCATTAATTAAAAGAAGGGAAGTAACCCCAGAAAAGGACTTGCTACCTCAAGTCCTAATGGAGGGGGATTCCCCTTCTAAACATTAAAAATTTCGACACTCTCCCCTCCTCCCATCCCATCAATCATCACCAGATCTTCATTAAAGGTAAGTGTCAATTATTCTATTGTGTTTATTCTATTATTATTGTTATTGTAATTATTCTATTGCATTAAACTTAATATTTCATGTGGTAAAAGTTTTTTTTTTTTTTTTTCATACTTTTGGGTGTCTTGCAGGGATTACCTGTAGTTTACCTGGAGAGAGTTTCGGGGGTCAACGCCCCCGCGGCCCGGTCTGTGACCAGGCCTCCTGGTGGATCAGCGCCTGATCAACCAGGCTGTTGCTGCTGGCTGCACGCAAACCAACGTACGAGCCACAGCCCGGCTGATCAGGAACTGACTTTAGGTGCTTGTCCAGTGCCAGCTTGAAGACTGCCAGGGGTCTGTTGGTAATCCCCCTTATGTGTGCTGGGAGGCAGTTGAACAGTCTCGGGCCCCTGACACTTATTGTATGGTCTCTTAACGTGCTAGTGACACCCCTGCTTTTCATTGGGGGGATGGTGCATCATCTGCCAAGTCTTTTGCTTTCGTAGTGAGTGATTTTCGTGTGCAAGTTCGGTACTAGTCCCTCTAGGATTTTCCAGGTGTATATAATCATGTATCTCTCCCTCTTGCGTTCCAGGGAATACAGGTTTAGAAACCTCAAGCGCTCCCAGTAATTGAGGTGTTTTATCTCCGTTATGCGCGCCGTGAAAGTTCTCTGTACATTTTCTAGGTCGGCAATTTCACCTGCCTTGAAAGGTGCTGTTAGAGTGCAGCAATATTCCAGCCTAGATAGAACAAGTGACCTGAAGAGTGTCATCATGGGCTTGGCCTCCCTAGTTTTGAAGGTTCTCATTATCCATCCTGTCATTTTTCTAGCAGATGCGATTGATACAATGTTATGGTCCTTGAAGGTGAGATCCTCCGACATTTCTTATGAGGAAAATTGATTTGCTTTCCGATAATTTTGGTTTACGATGAGCCCTCAGGAACGGATTAATAACGTGAACAGAGGGTCCACTGTACTCCTTGAATATTTCGCTATCATCAACTCTACGGCTTATTTATCTATCACAGTTCATCTAATATGAAATAATAAACAATATAAATAACATAGAAACCTGATAAATACTCTAGAACGAATAAAATATGTCATTACGTAACAGGCAGAGGCGGCCACAACCGCTCCCTCTTTGTTGTGGTAAACACTGCCATCTAGTGACGACCTTTTGAAGCCATTTATTATTATAATTATTATGTAGTACATTATTATTATATATGTATTATTACATATGTATTATTATTATTGTATTATATTATTATACTATTATTATACATTATTATTATTATTACAATATAAATAATTTGTAATTTTTATTCACACAAAAAATATAAGATTTACTGTTATGCCTTATTGCAATAATTGTATAATTAATGTCAACCCATTCATGACTGCATATTGGAATGAACATAGTCAAGCAAACGAGCATTTCTCTCTCGTTGAGCTCAATTTCAAGGTACTTTTCGCCATGAAAGCAATCAAAATCATATCTATTTCTGTACAGTAATATATCTTCCATTCTATCGAACGAGACCAAAAAAACAAGAATACAACCATAAAAACCATATGAAAACACCACTAAGGGGTGACTAATTGCTGAGAAGTGAACTCCATTATTTATGCTCCGATTTCTTTCATTTTTGGTGTACGTTAAGGAGCATCTTTCCATCATACACTGCCCAAGTTTCAATAAGATAGTCCAACAAACAAATGAGATACAATTCCCTAGATCAAGAGCAAGAGTCCCTCACCAGAAAACCTCCAAACCCCTCATACACAAAACCTTTACCCCCTCCCTCCAACCTTTCCTAGGCCAACCCCAACCCAGCCTTCCTTCCACCACAGATTTATATGCTCTCCAAGTCATTCTATTTTGTTCAGTCCTCTCCAAATTTCTGAACCACCTTAACAACCCCTCCTCAGCTGTCTGGATAATACTTTTAGTAACCCTGCACCTCCTCCTAATTTCCAAACTACGGATTCTCTGCGTTATATTCACACCGCACAATGCCCTCAGACTTGCCATCTCCACTGCTTCCAGCCTTCTTGTTGCAACATTCAACACCCATGCTTCACACCCATATAAGAATGTTGGTATAACTATACTCTCATACATTCCCCTCTTTGCTTCCATGGATAACATTCTTTGTCTCCACAGACTCCTCAGTGCACCACTATCCTTTTTTCCTTCATCAATTGTAGGATTCACCTCTTATTTCATAGACAATCTGATACCTAATCTTTCATTACCTAAATTCTTTGTTATCCTTATCACTTTACTCTCCCTATGTTCACTTTTAATTTCCTTCTTTTATATACCCTACCAAACTCATCCACTAACTCTGCAATTTCTCTTCAGAATAATCAAAAGCACAAGATCACCAGCAAGAAGCAACTGACAACTTCCACTTTGTGATAGATTCTTTATCTATTAATCCCACACTTCTTGCCAACACCGGAGCATTTACTTCTCTTACAAACCCATCTATAAATATAATGAACAACCATGGTGACATCACGAAACCCTTATGGCCTACTTTTACTGCGAAATAATCTCCCTCGTCCCTACATACTCTAACCGGAGCCTCACTATCCTTGTAAAAACTCTTCACTGCTTCCAGTAACCTACCTCCTATTCCATACACCTGCAACATCTGCCACATTGCCTTCCCCCATCAACTCTATCATACATCTTTTACAAATCCATGAATGTAACAAAAACCTCCTTACCTTCATCTAAATACTGTTCACCTGTATGCTTCATTGTAAACACTTGGTCTACACACTCCCTAAAGCCTCCTTGTTCATCTGTGATCTTGGTCTCCATCTTATTCTAAATTCTTTAAATAACTACCATACACTTAACAGGTATACTCAAGAGGCTTATTCCTCTATAATTTTTATATATTTTCATTCCCTGAAGTTTGCACACAGAGCTGCATCTACCACTTTTTTGGACTATGACATTAACTTGTCCAAATCTTCCTGAAGTTCAATGGTATCTTCCTCTAAATAAATCAGACCCATTTTTGTTCATAGCAAATTTACTCACACTATTCCAGCATCAAGAGGCCTATTTATAAGCCCTGCCTCAATACACGAGATGATATTCCCCTCCTATACCTTATTTTACTACTTTAACAACTGTGGTAATATCAAAAGTCAGCAAATTTGTGAACTTGTGTTGCAACTCATTTTTAAAGGCGGTTTCTAATTACATCTACTATTATGAATTTTAATAGTCTGACATCAGTAGTGAAGGCAGACAGCGGTAATTTGCTATGACTTCTCTCACATTTAAAAAAAAAAAAGGAATCACATTAACCATCTTCCACACATCAGATGCAATGACCATTTGTTAGAGGCTCATTAAGTTTATCTTACATTTTTTAAAAACCCTTGAAAACCCAGTGTCAGGACCCAGGGCTTTGCTTTAAGAAGTTCAACCGTTTAATAACCCTTTAGTGATTTATTACACATTACATATTTTCCTCAGGTCAACTATAATTTAGATTTTCTGTCGTGAAAATACTAACAAATTAAATATCAGATTTCTTTCTCAGTGTGAGTAAGCTGTCCAGAGGGAGTTTTAACATTTGTTCTATATACTTGTGAACAAAAGACTTTTGGATTTGCCTTAGATTCCTTCACAACTTCAGTTGCAGTTTCTTATATTTATACCACTTCGTTAACCTCTTTTTAATATGAAAATATTGGATCATAAGGTGACCCATTCCTCTTGATATAACTATAAATTCCTCTCTTTCCCATAAGATGTTTTAGCCTTTTGATTATCAATTTCAGATAATTTATATTTGACTGAACTTCTCTAAGAATAACTGATATTCTTTGGACAGTTTTTCTAGTATATTTTCTATAAAATGGCAGTAACAAGTTTCAGGATTAATATACCTGCAATACTTTGTATAACTGGCTTTCCTTTGTATCATAACTGTAAAGTGAACTGTAACCCTAAACAGTAAATATGTATACCCTTGATATACCTTTGAAAAGTTTCGAGAATTTATCTACTCTGAGCCCGGCCATGGGCCAGGCTCGTCATGTATCTTCCGAAAAAATATATTTTGTTTTAACTGATAATGATAGTTCTCCTCACTACCCCAACTAAAGAAGTCTGCTCTGCATGTCCAGTCTATTCTGAAAAACGAAAATCTGGAACCTTAGTGCATTATTTTTCAGCGAGAATATAGTGTAGGTGGGCCAGGTATAATGTAGGCACTGGCACCACACACGGGTGCCATGCCAGGCCCTGGTAGTACCCACTACACCTTCATCACTCACACAGGTTAAACATCAACCTTCCAGAAGTTACACCTACCAAAACAACACATTCATAATCAAATTTTAACTCCACACACAACTTGGAAGGCATCGTAATTTTAATCAGATAAATTTCAGTGAACAATACGTATGATTTATTACATAGTACCTACGTACTCTCCACAAGCTAAAATATACTAATACTTCAGATGATTAGCTAGGAAATATGCATGCAGATTATGCAGTAATCCGGAGAAGGCAAGAAACACCTACCCGCATCCGAACTTCATAGTCAGTATATCTTTTGTTGCCGACACCATGAGTGATTGGGTTTACTACGTCGATCTCGAGGAAGTTTGCTGGAGCAGCGTAGGCATCGTCTAGAGTTTGTTTCTTGGAGACGAGGCGACGTGTAGAGTCATTGGTCATGTCAGCCATGTTGACTGCTGCGAGTCACAACACTGTCTCCACCCACCCAGCCAGCCACCCAGCCAGCCAGCCAGCCAGTCAGCCAGCCAGCCAGCCACCCAGCCAGTCAGCCAGCCTCATGAATACCACCAACATTAAGGATCTTATTGCGGATACATACCTATTGTATGTTGCCAAATTATGCTTACATTAGCCTCTTTCTACCCATTAACTTTATTATAAAAATTTTATAGTTATGTTTATTTAGGAAAACCAGTCATAAATGTTATTCATTTCATAAATATTAAATAAATACATTTTTTATCTCCAGTTCCTGTATGAGTGGTGATGTAAGGTGGTGATGGTAACACTTTCACAATCACAATACTCTCATCCTTAACTAATTTTTTCCTGTTATTTACCAATATTGCTCCCATATTTTAGTTGTATTTTGGTTGAAAGAATCCACTCATGAGTTTGGAAAACAGCCGTCCTAAAATTTAGTATGACCTTTTAAGCAAAGATATTGATATAATCAAAATAATGATTACATATCTCACTAACTACAATACATTTAACAGAATACAAATGAACTTTATCTTGTATCTATGTATCCTGTTATGGTAGATCCTTTGATGAGGGTCAGGAAGGATTCCTCCTCCAACTCGGTGACCTTTTACTCCCTTTCCTGCCCACAAACCTGAGTTATAAAGAATGATGATCGTTTTTGTTTCTTAAAAAGAAGAGTATACAAGTGACATAGGACTAGTTGACATTACTATCATACTAGAACAGCCCCTGTTTAATGCAGAGTATTTCGGGAGGCATTAAAGTTAACGTAAAACTACTGAACAATTAATAATGTTAGTTTGCTGGAATCCTAGTTTGTAATCTTTGCTACTGAGTATAACAATATGGTTTATGATTTGTGACATACTGATTTTTTTATAATAGTATGGAATAACATGTGTAGTGGCGAATACAGAAGTAGAGCATATTTTTGGTTATTACACATGTTGAAATATATTGGTAATAGAACAACAGTATGAGTGCTAACATGATGTGGATAAACAGGGTTGCTGTTGATAAATTGGGCTTTAACTTAACAGAATTTAGGTCAGGTTAATGTGCTTTTTTAATTATATTTTTTAAACAAATTGTAGATAGAGAACTTTTTTACAGCTTCTGGTGTATACCTGGAGGGTGACCAGAGGTCAATGCCCCCGCGGCCCGGTCCATGACCAGGCCTCGCTGTGGATCAGGATCCACACACAATCCAACGTGCGACCCACAGCCCGGTTGGTCAGATAAGTGAGTTCCAGATTTTAGGGCCCTTTATTTGTGTGGAAAATTCTGGATTTTCCTAAATTCAGCATGTGTAAATTTGAATAATACAATAATTGTGTAATAAAATGTGATGCTGATTTGACCCTTTCGAGAAATTTCGAGTGAAGGTGTAGAACAGCTGCTAAGTGACGCCGGAGAGAGCGACATTGAATTTAATGTGTGAACATTGGACTGAGTTGTGCAATGTGATCGGGAGTTCTCGAAGGTCAGTTGTGTTTTTTTGTGTGGGGGGGGGGGACTGAATTTGTAATTAGGAACCCAAGTTAATGTCCGCTGCTGAAGAATTGGGACAGGAAATTTGTGTGACCTCAAGAATTATGTGTGGATGACAGAAAATATGGGATGCGAACATCACTCACAGGGAAGTGCACCATTAGTCCTTGCATATAAATCTCTAGCTGGCCAGTGTAGGGTCTAGGTGTTAGGCAGGTGCTGTGGTGCGATCCATCTACAGTAATTAAATGGTAAGTGTTAATACCAAATATATTTTGTGTACCCAGCAAGCCTAATTATATACAGTTCACAACCTTAATTTACCAGAATAGCTGGTTTTAATATTATAATTGTTAATTTAATGTCAGGTATTGGTTTTTGTGAGAGTGGTAGGGAGTGGGCAATAAGGGAGTTACAGTTCAGCGACTTGCTGTGACTTAACATGGGTTCCTGTATACCTTGTACATGTAGTAAATAAAGATATTATTGTTCAAATTCAGGCCGAGAAACTGCAGTTTGGCCACAAAGATGCGAGACTATTAGCTGAATTTTTGACGACACTGACGATCACTGAGACCCACATAAAGGATCACTTGGACAACGAAATATGGATCCCAGGTTACAACCTATACAGATGTGACAGAGTGAACAGGCAAAAAGGGGGGGGGGGTTGGCCTGTACATTGCAGAGTCACTTGTTTGCACAGAACTGCTAAATGCATCAAATGGTGTAGTGGAAGTTTTAGCAGTAAAGGTCGAGAACCAAAACCTAGTCATTGTGGTAGTCTACAAGCCTTCGGATGCAACATCCCACCAATTCCAGGAACAGCTGCTAAAATTTGACCACTGTCTGAAAAATCTTCCAGCTCCTGCACCCAACATCTTGCTCCTGGGGGATTTCAACTTAAGGCACCTAAAATGGAGGAATATAGCAAATAATATTGTTGCAGTAATAACACCAGGAGGCAGCTCTGATGAAAACTCACACACGAGCTTTTAAATCTCTGCACAAAATTCAATTTAAGCCAGCAAATAATAGAGCCTACTAGACTGGAGAATACACTAGACCTCATCTTCACTAACAATGATGATCTGATAAGAAATGTCACCACATCAAAAACAATATACTCAGATCACAACATAATTGAGGTTCAGACATGTATGCGTGGAGACCCAGACCGACATAATGAGACTAGTCACGAGGGAGCATTCACCAAATTCAACTTCAATAACAAAAACATAAAGTGGGACCAAGTAAACCAAGTCCTAACCGATATAAGCGGGGAAGATATACTAAGCAACACAGACCCCAACTTATGCCTAGAACAGATTAACTTGGTGGCACTCGATGTATGCACAAGGCTTATTCCTCTAAGAAAAAGGAGGAGTAGATGTAAAATAGAAAGAGAAGGCGCTCCCTTTACAGGCGACGGAAAAGAATAACAGAGCGGCTAAAAGAGGTCAATATATCTGAAATGCGTAGGGAGACACTGGTCAGAGAAATAGCAAGCATCGAACTTAAGCTAAAGGAATCTTATAGGAGTCAGGAATCGCGGGAAGAACTAAAAGCCATAAATGAAATCGAAAGAAACCCAAAGTATTTCTTCTCCTATGCCAAATCAAAGTCGAAAACAACGTCCAGTATTGGGCCCCTACTTAAACAAGATGGGTCCTACACAGATGACAGCAAGGAAATGAGTGAGCTACTCAAGTCCCAATACGACTCAGTTTTGAGCAAGCCGCTAACCAGATTAGATTTTAGATTTTGCCACCGAAGTGGCTAGTTTATTGTGCACCCCATATCCATCTAACCAGACTGAGAGTCGAAGATCAAAATGAATTTTTTATGAGAGAGCCACAAAATTTGGTTAACACAAGCCTATCCGATGTTATCCTGACGCCAAATGACTTCGAACAGGCGATAAATGACATGCCCATGCACTCTGCCCCAGGGCCAGACTCATGGAACTCCGTGTTCATCAAGAACTGCAAGAAGCCCCTATCACGAGCCTTTTCCATCCTATGGAGAGGGAGCATGGACACGGGGGTCGTCCCACAGTTACTAAAAGCAACAGACATGGCCCCACTCCACAAAGGGGGCAGTAAAGCAACAGCAAAGAACTACAGACCGATAGCACTAACATCCCATATCATAAAAATCTTTGAAAGGGTCCTAAGAAGCATGATCACCACCCATCTAGAAACCCATCAGTTACACAACCCAGGGCAACATGGGTTTAGAACAGGTCGCTCCTGTCTGTCTCAACTATTGGATCACTACGACAAGGTCCTAAATGCACTAGAAGATAAAAAGAATGCAGATGTAATATATACAGACTTTGCAAAAGCCTTCGACAAGTGTGACCATGGCGTAATAGCGCACAAAATGCGTGCTAAAGGAATAACAGGAAAAGTCGGTCGATGGATCTATAATTTCCTCACTAACAGAACACAGAGAGTAGTCGTCAACAGAGTAAAGTCCGAGGCAGCTACGGTGAAAAGCTCTGTTCCACAAGGCACAGTACTCGCTCCTATCTTGTTCCTCATCCTCATATCTGACATAGACAAGGATGTCAGCCACAGCAACCGTGTCTTCCTTTGCAGATGACACCCGAATCTGCATGGCAGTGTCTTCCATTGCAGACACTGCAAGGCTCCAGGCGGACATCAACCGAATCTTTCAGTGGGCTGCAGAAAACAATATGAAGTTCAACGATGAGAAATTTCAATTACTCAGATATGGTAAACACGAGGAAATTAAATCTTCATCAGAGTACAAAACAAATTCTGGCCACAAAATAGAGCGAAACACCAACGTCAAAGACCTGGGAGTGATCATGTCGGAGGATCTCACCTTCAAGGACCATAACATTGTATCAATCGCATCTGCTAGAAAAATGACAGGATGGATAATGAGAACCTTCAAAACTAGGGAGGCCAAGCCCATGATGACACTCTCAGGTCACTTGTTCTATCTAGGCTGGAATATTGCTGCACACTAACAGCACCTTTCAAGGCAGGTGAAATTGCTGACCTAGAAAATGTACAGAGAACCTTCACGGTGCGCATAACGGAGATAAAACACCTCAATTACTGGGAGCGCTTGAGGTTCCTAAAACTGTATTCCCTGGAATGCAGGAGGGAGAGATACATGATTATATACACCTGGAAAATCCTAGAGGGACTAGTACCGAACTTGCACACGAAAATCACTCACTACGAAAGCAAAAGACTTGGCAGACGATGCAACATCCCCCCAATGAAAAGCAGGGGTGTCACTAGCACGTTAAGAGACCATACAATAAGTGTTAGGGGCCCGAGACTGTTCAACTGCCTCCCAGCATACATAAGGGGGATTACCAACAGACCCCTGGCAGTCTTCAAGCTGGCACTGGACAAGCACCTAAAGTCGGTTCCTGACCAGCCGGGCTGTGGCTCGTACGTTGGTTTGCGTGCAGCCAGCAGCAACAGCCTGGTTGATCAGGCTCTGATCCACCAGGAGGCCTGGTCACAGACCGGGCCGCGGGGGAGTTGACCCCCGGAACTCTCTCCAGGTAAACAACTAGTGTCTACAAATAACA